ACATATCAGCAATAGCAATAACAAGGAAAATAAAAGGCCCAAAGATAGGTAAAGAAGAGGCAAGACTTTTCCTATTTGCTCATGACAAGATGGCTTACTTAGAAAATCCTATGGAATCAGCGAAGAAGCTGGGAAAATTGATAGCTTCAGTAAAGTGGCGGACTGCCAAATAAAGCCCCAAATCTGTAGCATTTCTACATAGTAATAATGAAATATAGAATCCAAGGACAGAAAACGAAGCCCTTTTAAAAATAACTACACAATGCATGAAATGTGTGGGAGTCAATCTACCAAAGTATGCTCACTGCCTATTGAGATACAATTTTAAATGCTCCATGAAGAACAATTTGACTAAGTGGAGGAATATTGAGTGTTCATGGTTGGGTCATGCCAATATAATAAAAATGACAATAGTACCAAAGTTAGTGTACAGATTTAATATTAGACCAACCAAACTCCCAAAGAAATGCTTTACAAAAAGAGACAAAATAATAACAAAATTAGCTTGGAGGAACAAAAGATCTACAATATTAAGGAAAATAATGAAAGGAGACTTGCACTTCTAGAATTCGAACTGCATTATAAAGCAATAATCATCAAAACTATTTCATACTAGCTGAAAAATAGAACAGTAGATTGATGTAAAAAAGTAGGCTAGACAAGGGAGAATCAAAAATAACGTAACTCAGTGACGTAGTGTATAATAAATCTAAAAACATAAATTAGGAAAGAATTCTCTATTTGACAAGAATTCCCAGGGAGGCTGGAAAGCAATCTAGTGGAAATTAAGTTTAGACTAACATCTTATACACCACAATAAATTAAAAATGGATTCAAGACCTGACTATTAAAGATTAAATCATTAAAAAATTAGAAGAGGCAGATCCCGTACCTTTCACAGCTATGGGTGCTGATGACATCACTGAGAGTGTATTGAGGGAAGGGAAGAAGGCACAGGGCAGAGCCTTGGGGTCCACCTGTGTACAGGGGATGGGAAATGGATGCTGACTCAGCAAGGCAGACTGAGAAGGAGTGGTCGGACAGGCAGCCGGAGGAGATCAGAGAGAGAGCAATGTTTGTAAAATCCAGACAGAAGAGTGGCCAGAGTGGTCAGCGCTGTTAAAAGCTACAGAAAAGGTAGAAAGATTGAGGACTGAGAAAAGGGGACTGGGGGGTCCTTCGTGACTGTGGAGAGATCAGTTTCAGGACAGTGCTGGGGAAGGACGCATGAAGACGTCCCCATACCTCGCTCCCCCACACCGAAGAGGGGAGTAATAAAGACTGGTACACAGATACAGGGGCTGCTCCTCCTCTGACCCCAGACTGGGAACCCCATGAGGACAGGGCCTGAGGCTACTCTTCCTCCATCTCCCCAAACACTGGCCTTGGATGGGTGGGGGAAAGGTGGGTGACCATGCTGGCTGATAGCAGAGGCTACCGTCCCCCAGAGAAGGTGGAGGCTCTGTGTCCCAGGGTGGCCAGCAGGTGTCGCTGCTGTGCAAGCCTGGACCAGGCTCAGGGGTTGTATGGCGTTCCAGTCAATGGTCCTAAGTAACCACATCTCCCATTTCTCTATCGATCCCTCCCCACAGCCCTCTGAGGCAGGTAGAAGTAGGAACCCCTCCCCGCCCCCACACCTTCAGTTACCATCCAGGGACCCACATCTCAGAGAAGTTGATGACTTGCCCAGAGACACACAGCCGGTGCCTGGGACAGAATTTAAACCTGACTCAGGGCTCCTTCCACCATGCCAATGCTCCCTAACGCCAAGGGGCAGAGGTGCATCTGGAAGCCAGAGAGATCCCTTCTTCCTGGAGGACTTATCCTGGGGGTGGGGTGTCCTTTCATTATGGGAATGCCCTTTATTTTTTCATCTCCATCATGCCCTGCCCCCCTCCTCTAGCCCGGACCCTCATTTGGGACAAACACAAAACAAAGAACGCCAAAACATCCACATTCTGAGACAGCAGACCAGGGGTCCAACAGGGAGTGGGTTCTGCCCGGTAGAGCAGGAGGAGGAGGAGGAGGAGGAGGTTTTGTTCTCTCTTCTCTGGGACCTTGGCCGGGTTTTCCATTTACTTGGTGTTGCACTTCTTCTTGCTGACCTTTTCCATCCATGTCATCATTAAGTATGTTTTTTTCTTGGTTCTGCTAACTTTGCTCCGCCTCCATTCGTACAGAGCTCCCCACGTCACCCTAGACTTCTCGTGTCTATCACTCCCTACCACACAAGAATATCCCACCACCTTCACGCTCCATGACATTTCCAGCCATTCTCCAAGGGACGGGCATCCATGGAGTTTCCAGTTCTCGGCTCCCACTACAAGGCTACGTCACTTCAACCTCGGTTTCTGCCTTTGACTCCCTTGGGCACACGTGCAAATGGTGGGACTTCTGAGTCAAAGGGTATGGACCCTATCATCACTCTCCTTGCCTCAAGTCCAAACTGAAATCCGGCATGGCGGGAGCGTTCCGCAGCTGGCCCCAGTGGAGCGTCAGAGTGCCTGTCTTCCCACCACCCCGCTCTCATTCGCTCTGCCATCACTCATCATGGTGGCCATTCCAACGGCTAACCAACCCATCGGGATGAATTGGCCATCAGGTATTTGTTAAGCCCTTACTCTGTGCCAGCTCCCGTGCTGCTTTGGGGCTTACAAGGACGAGAACAGCTAATGCCTCCCACCAGAAGCTCACGTTCTCATACCGGGCATGTGGTGAAACCTCTGAGCCACTGCGATTTGCATTTCTATCACTCATCCCTATTTGGAGCCTGTTTTCATGAGGCTATTCATAGTCGGTACTCTTCTTTTGAGACGTGTTTGTTCATCTCCTTCGGCCCTTTGAAACCCCTGGGGGAAATACCCTTTTGCTACTGACCCCCCGGGGTTGTGATGGGGGAAAAAGAGAGAGTTGGGGCTGCTGCCATCAATTCACATCTGATCTGCCAAGGGTCCTTGGCCCCTAGGGGAGGGCCTCCTCTGCGAGCCCCCCACCCCCTCCTGGTCTGCTGATTAGGCTGCACCTGCCGTCTCACCCCAACACCTGCTCTCCCACCAGAGCAGGGCCTTGCTGCCTCAGAAATCCCCCCTTGACTTTGACAACATGGACACAGACCGAAGGTGGCTGTGGCTCATGCCTTGCTGGTGAGCTCAGCCTCCTTGCGTGGCCAGCGACAGGGCCCCTCTTCCGTGTTGCCCCCCAAGTAACCCCCCCGGATCCTAGCCCCAGTGGGTCGGAGCTCAGGCAGGGCCAAGGTCAGGGCTCGGAGAAGAATGGCTTTCAGGAAGGAACCTTGGCTCTGCCTGCCACTCCTTGGTTTGTGACCCCTGGCAGTCACTTGACACCCTGGGGCCTCAGTCTCCTATTCTGAGCCATGGGCTCGTGAGCCTGGCCCTCAGCATGTATGTGGTGGTGGCTGGCCCGGGTGAGATCAGAGAGGAGCTGAGACAAGCGTGTTGTTATTATTAGCCGGTGTCTGCCCGTGATCTCAGAGCCAGATACGGGAGCTGACGAGGAGCAGAGGATCCCACACCCCCGGCCTTCCCTCAGCACCTCCTTTTAGAGCCTGAGTCAGTGAGCAGAGCTCGGGTCTGGGCGCCCTGCTTCTGCCAGAGTTATTTCAGGAACCTCCTCCTCCTCCTCCCTCCCACCCCCGGAATCCATCACTGTCACCGACGCCCCCGGGGGCAGCCATGAGAAGGGGAGCAAGGGAGAAGGCCTGGGAGCTGGGGCAGAGCCGGAAGGGGCCTCGGAGACCATTGGACTTCTCTTATTACAAATGGGGAAACTGAGGCTCCGAGGGAGGGGAGTTCTTACCCAGGGGGCCCCAGTCTAGAGGTGGCAGAGTGAGCTGAGGCCTTGGACCAGACAGGCAGCAGGGCTTTGGAGTCAGAGGACCTAGGTTTGAATTTCAGCTTTGCCCTGGCTGTGCTGTGTGACTTTAGACGAGTCATTTCCCTTCTCTTTTCCGAAACCGAGGGCCTCGGTTTCCTAGTTTGTTAAATGAAGATAGTAGGCTCAGTGTTCTCTATAGGCCCTTCCAGGTCTGACATTCTATGTCTTCTGTCTCCGAATCCAGAATTTGTAGGCCTCTTTCTCTGGGTTTCAGTGCCCCCTTTTGCAAAGTGAGGTGGGGTAGACCAGAAGGAAAGAGTCATGGGTGGGAAGCCACGAGGCCCAAGTTCCAGTCCCTGATCTTGGCAAAGCATACTCTTCTCTGGAACTCAGTTTCCCCATCTGTAAAATGAGGGCACCCTCCCAGCTAGGAACATCTTACAATTGATCGGTAGCAGCCAAGGCCCACCCCTCCCTCGGCCAGGGCTCTCCGGTGACAGCTGTGGCCAGGGGGCTCCTTCCTCCCTCCCTTTCTCCCTTCTGGTACCATTGGGTCGCAGCTCATCCCCGCATGGGTCACGGGACAAGGCCTGAAAGAGGAGCTGTAAGGTGACCTTTAGTGTGGCTCTCCCCCAAACAGCCTTCCCCTTTCCCGATATCTGTGTCTTGGGCAGGAGAGGGAGGTCTCAGCTTCCCCTGGGATGGCCCTACCCCAGCTCCAGTTACTGCTAAGTCCAATGCAGTCATTGACCCCACTCTGAGAATCTCCCTCCCCCTCCCATTTTCCAGTGCCTGATGCCCCGGGATGTTCCGACTCGTCTCTGGTCACGGGCTGGGAGGCAGCGGTCTTCATTTTACAGACTAGGAAATTGAGGCTCGAGGAGGGGCAGGGATTTGTCCCAGGTCACATAGGGAGTTAATGGCAGAGCTGTTATGAGGCTGCAGCGGCCTCAGAACAGATGGTGAGGTGATGTTCTCCGGTGGAATGTGATTGAATTAACAGTGTCGGTGAGCAGGCCCCTGGGGAGGGGGGCCCTGGAACCAGTGACTGTCCTGGGTGCCACAGACCTCTCAGAGCACTGCCTGGCTGCATCACACACTCATTAGGCCCAGGGCACCGACTCTGGCTTTTATTAAAAAAATCAATGACCCCAGGGCCCCCCTCAGGGCTCACATAGCTTGGTCCAATTCTGGGGGCTGACTCCCAGAGGCCCTGAAGTCTGGTGGGCTCATGCCCCTCACCCTGAAGAAAGCTTAGGACAAATTCCCATCTAAGTGTTCCCAGATATGAAGAGCAGCGTCCCCAAACCCCACATGGGCAAGCAGTGTACATTACGGGGATGGAATATGAGAAAGCCTTTATTTCACCCACCACAGAAAACACCCAGGGCCTCGGGCTCACCTCCACCAGAGATTAATAGGAAGCCACAAACCAAGGCAGAACCATAAGGTGCTCCCAGAAGGAATGGGCCATCAGGCTGGTGGGCAGGTAAGGGGGCTGTGGGAGACGGAAACACAGCTCCCTCCCCCTCCCCTGCCATGTCCAAGTTGCCCCTGGCTGTTACATGGTCTAGATCTTCTGCTCTCCCCCTCCCCAGGTCATGGCTTCAGTTCTGCTCCAGGGTAGGACTCCTAGACCTAGAAGTAGGGGAGGCCTGGATCCACAACCCCCTCATTGTCCCGCAGGAGGGAGGTGACATCCTGGGGTCACCGGAAAGTGGGATCCAAACAGGTCCTCTGACTCTGATGAGATCATACTTTTAAAAAGTGCTTAGCTTGGCGCATGCATAGTAGGCACTCAATAAGTATTGACTGGATTGCATCACAATTCACAAAGCACTTGGGACTTACCTCTGTGTTCACACTCTCAGGCAGTGGTGAGCTCCCTGTCGCTGATGATCATCAAGCAGGGGACGGCTAACAATCAATCACTGGTCTGGGACACTGTAGGAGAAATGACTGCTCAGGTAGGAGCCAGCCCGAATGTCTGCTGAGGTCTCTTTCTGTTCTAGAGATTCTGGGATTTTAAGGAAACTTTGGGAGGGTGGGGCAGGCCTGTTCCCTTCAGCCGTCTCCTCAGCATCCGGCCCAGTGCTGGGCGTATGATGGGGATTCAGTGAATACCGAGCGCATCTGACAACTTAACAAATGGATGGAGGGATGGGTGAAAGGAAGCTCTGAAAGGAACAGCTCACACTTTTGCTCGGTAAGACCTCCAAGAAGGGCTACCACGGGCTGGAGCAGTCAGGGAAAGCTCCTTGGAGGAGAAGGAAAATGAGCTGAGCCTGAAGAATGGGCAGATTTGGGGTTGGGATCAGGAGAGCTATAGACGGTCTGTTCATGCCAGGAGGGAAAAGTGAGCCTAGAGTGGGCAGGAGAACCACCCTGTGGGTCAGGGGGTGGGCGCGATTTATCACAAAGCCGTTGGGGAATAACCTTCACACGAGGATTGGGCACAGGATTCCTTTGAATGTTCCTTCACAAACAAGATGAGAGCCTTGAGCAGAGTTTCCACCTGCCGGTGGATTCGAAACTGGTGGCATGAATGAGTCGATGTCCCCAAAGGTCCTTCTCAGCCCCAGCTTGAGTGACGCCGGGAGGGGGAGGAGGAGAAAGCCGTGTGCACACCAGGTCCACAATGAGAACAAATCTGACAGTGGAGGTGGCCTGAAACTGGAGAATCCGTGTGTGTGTGCATGTGTGTGTGTGTGTGTGTGTGTGTGTGTGTGCGCGTGTGTGTGTGTGCATGTGTGTGTGTGTGTGTGTGTGTGTGTGTGTGTGTGTGTGTGTGTGTGTGTGTGACAGGGAGAACACCTTGTTCTGGAACCTGATCTGTTCGCTCTCGGTCGGCCGGCAGGGTGTTGGGATGGGTGGTGGGCGGGTATCAGGTGCTGTTATCTCTTAGCTCAGCAGAGCTGAAGCTGTTGGCCCCCTCCCCCACTCAGGCCTGAGCCATTCCCCCCACCCCCCCCACTTCTCTGTGTGAAGGCAGCATCCCCAAGGCTACAACCAAAGCCCTGAGTGAGGAGCCAGAATGCCTGAGCCTTATCAGAAGCTCGGCGAGTGTATGACCTTGGACGGGTCACTTAGTCACAGGATGGAGACTCTGGCTGACCTTGGCCCTGGCTAGGCCCCATCTGGAGCCTTGAGCTCTGCTCTGGGCGCCTCGGTCCAGGCAGGACCATGAGAAGCTGGAGAGCGGCCGGAGCAGGGTGATGGGGAACGGCCCAGGATTCCCCCAGAGGAGGGCTGCCTTGTGGAAGACGGAGCGGCCGGTCTCAGGGAACCTTCTCTGCTCCCTGTACTCAGACCTCACGCAGTCCTTTATGCACTGGCCTTGGGCCACTTGTCCTGAAACATTGACCTTCCTCACTGTTGATTCCATTTGGTATGGGCCTCAGTTTTCTTTTCTGCAAATCACAGGGCTGGACGGAGGGAACTGTAAAAGTCCCTTCGGACTCTTCACTTTCTAAGGTCCGATAAAATGGACTTGAACAGTTCAGCTTGGCCCCAGGGGACCGAACTGGGATCGGCGAAGGGGAGACACTCACAGGGAGGTCGCTTGGGGCTAAATGTGGAGAAAACGTCCATCACAAGCTGTGGATTCTGAGGGTCAGTCTCTCTGATACCTTTCTTTAGGGTCCAAACCTCCCAAACTCTCCTCCATGACCCTTGGACTGCCAAACCTCAGGGATCTCCCTAATTAAAAAATAATCTGTCCTAGGAGGCCTTACTCCAATGACAAACCTACTGGACCTGGAGTGGATGAGGATGATGAAGGACCCCTTTGTCCCCATGGGCTCCCTGCAGCTGAGCAGTCTCGGTTCTCGGTTCTGGGAGCACTTAGAAAAGGAAGCAGCGAGCCCCAGGAGCTAGCACGGGATCACTAAGAGCAGATCAGCCTTGCCTCGCTCCATTCTGTGGCACGCTTCATGGAATCATCACGCGTGAGCAGAGGATGCCTGGATTTCAGCAGGGCACTTCACAAAATCTCTCATGATATCCCAGAGAGCACGTCTGGGTTCTCTCTAAAGCAGACCTCCCTGGTGAATAGAGCAGTACAGCAATGGGATGGTCTGCCTGGATAGGTGGTGAGCTCCCCGTCGCTGGGCACCTTCAGCAGGGAGATGTTCGTAGGATCACAGAGGGCAGCATAAAGGGTGCTCAGTGACTCAGTCTCCCTATCTATCGTTTCCCTTCTGGGAAGTCTAGGGTTTCGGTGATGGCCTAGATAATAAACAGCAGCAGCAATAGCTTTCATTTCCTATGGAGCTTTCAGGTTCCCAAGGACCCTCTGAGGGAGGTGATACGAGCATCATTATCCCCACTTCACAGATGAGGAAACTGAGGCTTGGAAAAGGGAAGGGGCTTTCTGGTGGTCACACAGGTGGCTTTGTGAGATGTGGCCCCCAGAACAGACCCTCCAGGTCTTTTTACGAAAGTCAGAAAAGGGGAGAGGCTTCCCCAAGGCCACGCAGATTACAAATAGGAGAGCACTCCATGGTACTCAGCTTCATCCCTGCTCCCTCGACCTCAGTTTTCCCACCTGTAAAATGGGAGGGGATCGGACGAGAGGACAATGACAGATTCCCATCCCCAAGTTCTGAGGCAGAGAGCATCATAGAAGATCAGAGCTGGAAGGGCCTATAGAGAGCTTAGAGTTGAATCCCTCCCTGCTAAGTTTGCAGGGAAAGAAACTGAGGCATAAGGAAGGGAGAGGAGGTGTCCAAGGTCACAGAGCCTCTCCCCAGGACGCAGCCCAAGGTCAGCCAGCCAGGGAGTCTGGGTCAGGCCCAAAATGAAGGTCTCTGCGTCCCAGCCCTGAGACCTCTCACAGGCATCCTGGGAGGGAGAGCAGGGGACAAGATTGAATATTAGCAGCTGGGGCCTAAAGGGCCAAACTCCCCGACCTGGGATGGGACTCAGCTTGGCCCTTTCCCGGCCAGCATCCTTAAAGAGGCCCGGGGCGTCCCTGAGCCCCCCAGGCTAGGCTGTCTGTGCACGGACCGTTCAGTGCAAAGTGAGGAGTTAGGAAGGCGGCATCAGCCAGGACGTTCCTCGGCCAGTCCCCTGTGGGAGGGCGGGGACGGGGGGCCCAGGAGCATCGCTGGGGCCATGGACATGGGCCCTGCAGCCAGGCCAGCCGGTGGGACAGCATGCCTGTGTTAAGGGCACTCAGGCAGAGAGGGAACAGAACCTGGTCACATGGGACTTGAGTTTGTTCCAGCTGCTTCTCTGGCTGGGTGCCTCGGTGGGGGAGAGGGCAGGGAGAGGCACATTCCCAGGAAGACCCACGTGATGCCTGCCGGGGCCCATCAGGTGCGAGAGGACGACCTGTGGGAGCTGCACAAGGGAACTTCAGGCTGAAGGTCTGGGCTGCCCCCAGAGCAGGAGGCCAGCATTCTGGGGAGAGCTGGGTGGGCTGGGGGGTGCCCCGGGTAGAAGCGGGTCTCGACAGTCACACCCTGCCCTCTCTGAGCGGGGCCTGGGCCTGTTCCTCCTGCCTCCCTTACAGACTGGCAGAACACAGGCCTGGGCACATAGGGCTGGGGGTTTGTTGATACCTTGTTGGCACTGCGAGTGATGGATCACTCAGAAAAGAAAGAAAGGAAGGGCTGGGTCCTGGAGAAATAGACTAAGCGCTGGTCTCCTGCTCGGGACCCTCAGACGCTCATCCTGGGGAGGCTGGCAGACAACGCCCTGGATGTGGAGGAGGAAGATTAGGGACTGAGGCCAGCCTTGGCCACCTACCCCCTGTGCGACCTCGAACAATTCCCTTCTCTTTTTGTGTCTCGGTTTCCCCATCTGTAAAGTGAAAGAGCTGGACTTTGATAAGCACCCAAAAAGCCTTTTTAGCTCCGATATTCTGTGGTTCTGGGTGAAAGTCATGAAAGATCCCCTATTAGACCTGGGAGAGGCCTGAGAGCAGGAGATATCAAAGGTGGAAGGGAGCTTAGAAGAGGGAAGGTCAGAGCTGAGGGGACACGTAGAACTTTGAACACAAAATATCGGAATTGGAAGAGACCTTAGGGTATGGAATACCACGTCAGAGCTGAAAAGGACTCTAGAATATTAGAATGAGTAGAGAAGGGAAGGGAATCTTCTACTCTGTGAGGTAGGTGCTATTATTATCCTCATTTTACAGTTGAGGAAACTGAGGCAGACAGAGTTTAAGACAGTTAGTAGGTGTCTGAGGTCATTTGGAACTCAGGTCTTCCTGACTCCAGGCTCAGGGATCTCTAGCCACTGCAGCTCTCCCAACACGTAGGGCATTGTTTGTTTTACACATGAGGAAACTGAGGCTTTGAGGGGGAAAGGTCCGGTCACCACGCTTTGTGATCCACGCCGCTGCCCCAGCCCCGGGCTCTTCTCTGCCCACAGAAGCACCAGGAAGCTGAAAGCGGGAGGTGTTTCTTTTCCCATTAACAGCACCTGGGTATCTGAGAGATCCTCTTATCTTGAGCTCCCCAAAAAGGCAGTGGGGGGAAGTGATAGGGTGGCAGGTTTGGGCTTCATGTGAAGAAAAACTTCCCCGAGGGGGACAGGCTATGTTGGGAAGTGGTGAGCTCCCTGTCTCTTGTGGTCCTTAAGGAGTCTGGATGCTCGGTGGTTATGGAAATCAACGGGGGCGTCTGCGTCGGGCCCGGGGTGGGTTCAATGCCTCCGAGGGCCCCATCGGCTCTGAATTCCTCGGTGACATCCTCCTTGCCCTGTCTGGGTTTTCACCCTTAGACAGATTCCCACGTCTGCCGCCTGCCTCGTGACTTGACAGGGTATTTTTACCGTCCCTCCGCCTGTCCCACAGGGGCTGCTCCTCCAGCCTGGAGTGTGGGGGACCAGCCCGGTGGGGGGGCACAAGAGGGAGAGCTCCCCACTTGGCTCTGAGCCAGCCCAGCCCCCTAGATCTGCCTGTGAGTCAGCCCGCTGACTCAGAAAGAGTGGGGCCCCCTCCCCACCTCCCAGCAGCCTCCTGGTCCCTCTCTTTCCCAATGAGAACAGGTCTCACCCTTCCCAGCTCTGGGTCTTCTCAGCCGCCTGAATCGGCTTTCAGGGAAGTTCCACCCATCCTTACATTCAATAATCACATATTAGGCACCTACTGAGTACTGTGCCGGGCACTAGGGGAGGGAAACAATCTGTCCTTGCACTGAGCTCTTGTAACACACCCAGGCCCCAAAGCAGGAATGAAGAGCAGATCTTGTTCCTATAGGAGCTTCCCCCCCCACCCCCGGTTGTTCTCGTCGGCCCATTCACCAGGGGACGTCTTCACACGCTTGGACGGGCGCCCTCCTCTCACCGGGTGTGACCCCCTCCCTTGAAGGGCCCGTGCAGAAGGACCCAGGGGTCAGTGTGAGCAGGGAGGAGACCACAGGGCCAGCCATCTCCTGAGGTTCACCCTGCAGGGCCTTCGCATCCCCAGGTCCTAGGCCTGGGGCCCAGCCAGGGCTGCTCTCTAGGGCAGTGGAGCTGGGCTGCAAGGCCCTCCCACCCCCCAGAACCCCTCGGGTGGTGCGTGCCTGGGTCTGCATGGGGCCTGAGCCCAGCTCCAGCCAGGAGAGAGGAGGCACCAGCGATTCCCCTGGGGCCCTGAAGGACACACTCAGCACTCCCAGATGGTGATTACCACCCATGCCCATGACCCATTTCCTGGGGGATGGTGACTAGGCTTTAGTTACCCACATCAAAGAGAGCCTGCCGGCGTCTAGACAGTCTGTGGGTCCTGAAGCCTCTCCTCTCCCAGCCCAGAAGCCCACCCCGACTTCCTCCAGCCCTCTGGCCTGTCCTGAGCTCCGACTGCGACTGCGCTTAGTAAGGGAATCTCTTTTCACCCCAGACTAGAAGCTACCTGAGAGCAGGGCCAAAGCAAGTACAGAGCTGTATGGAATGGAGGGATTAGCTCTGTAAATGCTTGTTGTCTGACTTAATTAACTGCCCACTTAGTTAACATTTCCGAACTGGTCACTGTAAAACATTCTCCCCCAAGGGCTCAAACGTCCCTGGCCCAAAGCTCTGCCAGATCTGGCAGACCCACCTCAAGATGTGTGGGGAGATCCCCAGCCCCCCCACCCAGGGAGGTCCTCTTCAGAAAGACGAGCTGATGACCGGGAGACAGGTGGACCTCAGGAAAGAGCAGCTTGTGTGTGGGGGCGAGCTGGAGGGCAGAGGGTAGGAAGGGCGGCAGGGAAGATGGGGTTGAGAAGGGGGGAGCCACACTGAAGAGGGCCTTGAATGCCAGTCTGAGGGGTCTGGGCTTTGGGGTCAGACTCAAGTGGGAGGGCACATCTGGAAAACCACATATGAACATTCTCTGTGTTTTATTTATTTTGTTAAATATTTCCCAATTGCATCTTAACGTGGTGCAGCCTGCCCTGGACTATTGCCTGCCTTAATCCTTGATACCGCTGCTGCAGGCAGTGGGGAGTTATGGAAGGTTTGTGAGCTGGGGAGCCACATGGCCCAGACTGGGTTTTTGGAAAATCCCTTTGGCAGCTGTGTGGAGGGCTACTAGAGATGGAGAAACCGGAGGCAGAGACTGAGGAGGCCGGTGTGATGGTCCAGGTAAGAAGTAATAAGGACCAGAGTGAAGGTGGAAGTCCTGGGGGTGGGGCAGGAGGTAAGGGTTCTTGGCCACTATTTGGATGCCGGGTAAGAGACCAGGGAGAACTGGGGCTTGGATCTTGGGGTGCTGCCTCCTCCAGGGCTCTGTGGCTATTTTGGGGTCACCACCTGATACGGGTCACCATTCTCCCTCCTACCCGCCCCCTCCCCCAGTGATTTCTCCCATGAGTCTCTGTCTCTGCTCTTCGCTCTGACTGCTTTCTTCTCCTCCATCCTTCATCCTCCTCTATCTTCCTCCTTCTCTTCGTGCTTCCCCTCTTCTTCCTCCTCCACTTTGTCAGGCCCGGGGCCCAATTCCCCATCACTGGGCCCTAAAGGAGGATGGGACTGGACCCAGGTCTGGATCTAGGCTCTGCTGCTTGCTGGTGCCATCTTGGAGAAGGCCCCTCCCGGCCCTGCCCCAGCCCCCCTCAGTTACCAAATGGGACAGGATGGGGTGGGAACCGACGATTCTTCAGGTCCCTCCCAGCTCTGACCCTATAAATCTCGGCTGATTCTATCTCCATCTGCCCCAGAAGGCAGACAAATCCCCACCATGGGTAGAATTTCAGGGGGGCGTGGAGCGATGTAATCCTGGGGATCAGATGGCCTTGTTCCCATGGAATTCATCTCGGCTGGGCTCGTGAGAGTGCCT